AGAATGTATTGCCTGATTTAGAACAGGGATAGGCAGTTAAAACCCACACATACAAATATCCTAAGGGTTAGGACATAGCTTATCCTATTTGAGCCTCTCTTTAGGGCTGTTCCAGCTAAACATTCTTCAGTTGTTCTTGGCTGATTGGAATTATTTCCCCTGCCTTGGTTTACTAACTATGGAAGCTAAGGAATCCTTTGTATCACAGTATATGCCTGGCCTAACTGTAAAATGTTTTTAGTCAACTAACTGGAGAAAAGAGCTTAATATAGTGTGGCCTTTACATATTTTTCCGCTCAAAATTTTCCAGCCAACTGATCCAATTTATTTATAGTTAACAATATCATTGCAGATGGTCTGTTTTATTTCTATGCTGATCTTCAGCAGAATGTACAGGGTCTAATTATTTTCATGCCTTTGTAGGGACCACCTTAGAAGTTATTAAATAACTTGTTAGCACAATTTGGACCCTTTGTGTGGGTGTCTGCCTGTGTATTTATGTGTTTGTTTAGAGCCTATGAGTTCTGAAGTAATGCAGATTGCTATTTTATGTTTCCTTGCCAACATGAAACAAGTTGTTTTGTGTGTATGTATTATTAATAAATATTATAACGAGAATTCCATGTCTCACATTTGCAGCAGTCTTGTGCAGAGTTGTATCTCTACCAGATGGCAAGCAAATTTGCTTTCCTATGGACAATACATTTTTGCAGTTAATCATATAACAATCAACCAAAATCCGCTCCCAAACATATAAGAAGAAAATTAAGAAACAAGCTACACAAAACAAGTAAAAGAAAACTAGCATAATTTGGGGCTCCATATGATCCCTGATCTGAAAGGGAGATAAATATTAAACATCCATATTCTATATTTTTATTCTTGATAAAGATAATCTATTAAGAACTATTTTGTTGATCTAACCAAAGAAAGGAGATGTGAATAAAGAGATTCCATGAGAGCTCTGAGGTTTTTTTTTTAATTCAGTAATTAGTTGCCACTATAGAAAGAGATGATTTGACATGATTGTTGAGAATGCTAAAAAGATCTTTTGGATTTTTCATATTAATAATTACTTATTATAATTATTGACATATTAAACAAAATGGTCTTTCTTTCTTTTTTTCTTACTTTCTTTGATGGGGCAGCAGAATCATCCACTGAACGTGAAGGGTCCTTTCGGAAATGGCTGTAATCACAGCAGTTCCCCCCCCCCCCATTTCATGACCATAGTAAAATAACAAAATTAGCCTCTGGCCTTTTCAATTGACCACTTCGTAGTGTCAGAACAAAATATTATAATGTTATGAAAATACTATGTTTCTCTTAGAACAAGATCTTAGATTGGAAGCCTCACCCTTCTCTCATATTTGTTAGCAAAGGAAAAAAGTATGTTTTCTACCCAGCTCTAAGTTTCAGAGAAGTGGAAGATTTGCATCCAAAATTCAGCACTAAGGAAAAATGTAGAATTATTTTTAATTGCATAATTGTTGATTCTGGACTTTATTGGCTGAAAATGGCCTTCCAAAATTAGATTGTTTATAATTGTGATCTTTAACTATGGAGATAGATGTTTTCATGAGAAAAAATATGAAATAAAACAAACCAGTCATAAATTCTACTATTACTTTGGGATCAAAACAGTAAAGAAAAGCTGCCACGTAGAATAAACTTGGAAAAATTCTTTTTAGATGATTGGAAAGCAACTGGCTGCTGCTAAAAGGTTTCCTTCCTGGTCAGCATGACATTGTTATGGGAAAGAAAACATATTAAATTGCAAAGCACTGTTATGAGTCATCTGGAATGAGATTTTATCCACCGTCTATAAGAGCTCATGTATAATTTTATCAGGGTTGGGGGAAGAAAATGAAAGTTAACTTTTAAAAGAGGGAAATTAAAAAGAAAATGCATTTTTTTCTTTACTTTACAGTAAATGTAGAAATTGATGTAATTTCTATGAACAATGAATGCTGAATTAACACAATTAGATGTGTGTTGTATTCTGAAATACAACCCAAACAATAGTTTTGTACTGAATCCTCAATAAGTCGGTTAAGTAAGATTCTGTTTTAAATCATTGTGAAAAGATACTTAAGATTAATGAGGATTCAATTGTCTTGAATGCAATATTTTGTATCCACTATAATATGCACTAATAGCATGTGAAGGAGATATAAATTATTTATTAAGATGCATATAACTATTAAGTTACAAGCAATTGTCTGGAATATGAAAGCAAATCAGTAAATTATTCTAAGATACTGTTGCACACTGAGATTATAAGAAATAATAATCTTCTTCCAGAAATTGATGATTTTTTTTCACTAAGGAAAGAGTTCTTCTGACTTTCCTTAGTCATTAGGTGATAATCAAAGACAAACTTTCTGTCTTTTTTTAATGTAAGCTGGTGGTTTGAGGCTGAGCATTTCTTCTTGAGAATCAACAAAAGCAGAATTACAGTGAAACTCTTAATTTTCTGGAAAGCATCGAGATAGCTCAGAAATTGTATTGTTAGATGAACTGGATAATGCTGGTTGATATGTCAAGTTTGGATTTTTTTATTTTGGGTATTATTGCTACAAGCAGCCTGGGGTTGTTTTCCACAATATGGACAGCCATATAAATCTTTCAAGTCATCAATTAATTAAATATCCTAGTTTTGGTTTATTAAAATGACAAATGTGGTAGCAAATTTTAGAAAGGTTTGGAATATTTCACCTACTGCATAGATTGTATATAAGATAGCAGAAAACTGCAATATCTATGAACAAGCATTTCTTGGTAACAACACAGAGAATAACTGACCTTATCCATGATAGATGTGAAAAACAATCAGACAAATCCTGACTACATCTAATTTTAGTTTACTTTATTGTCATTGCACCTTGTACAACGAAATCAAACACCATATTCAGTGCATATCATGACCATGACCATGAAAATAAACACAAACATACATCCTTCACCCTTCACACATTGAACCGGAAACCCCCGACACCACACCAACACTGCACTATACAGCTGAATTCAAAATAGCTACTGCCCTGGGATAGAAGCTGTTTTTCAGCCTATTTGTCCTTGTTTTTATTATTCTGTACCATCTGCCAGATGGTAATAGTTCAAAAAAAGGGTTCCCAGGATGAGATGGATCTTTGAGAATATTTTGAACTTTTTTAAGGCAGCGGGAGCTATAAAGCTCTTCCAAAGAGGGGAGAGGGCAACCAATGATCTTCTGGGCAATGACATTAACCCCCTGGAGTACTTTCCTATCTGCCACTGTGCAATTGGCAAACCATACAGAGCTGCAGTATGTTAAAATGCTCTCTATGGTACAGCGGTAGAAGGTCACCAGCAGTTTCTCATTTAGTTGTTGTTTTCTGAGAAGCCTCAGGTAGTATAATCTCTGCTGGGCCCTTTTGACCAGGGCTGAAATGTGGGCAACCCAGGTCAGGTCCTCTTTTAGGGTAACACCCAGAAACTTAAAACTGGCCACTTGCTCCACTTGGTCTCCATTGATAAGCAAGGGCTGGATGTCTGATCTGATCCTTCACTATAAGGTCCTTGGTCTTATTGGTGTTGAAGACCAAGTTGTTGTCTCCACACCACAAAAGCAACCGGTCCACCTCATCTCGGTAGGCAGACTCATCCCTCCCCGGAGATAAGTCCCACCACTGTTGTATCATCTTCAAATTTAGCAATAGTATTACTAACGTGACTGGGAATGCAATCATGCACATAAAGAGTATAGAGTAAGGGGCTCAACACACAACCCTGTAGTGTGCCAGTGTTAAGAATAAGGGCTGAAGAGGTATGATTACCTAATCTGACCCTCTGTGAGCAGCCAGACAGGAAATCCATAATCCAAAGGCAGATTGAAATAGGTGATGTTTCTCAAATTGGACAATTTTAATATGTGTGAACTCCCAGAATTCCCTAGCTGGGAAAACTAGCTCAATAATTTTGCTAAGCAGCTGTCTTAATTATTCTTGGGTCTGCATGGGCCTTGTGGGTACATCATTCTCCTAGAGTGATGTTAGTGGAAGTGGAAGTCATTAACAGGTTCTTGAAGTCAGGAACACATAATGTTACTTTTATCAATCCCCAGCCTAACAGGGAAGCAATTTTGGCCTATTCTTTTTCTTCCATTCATCAAAAGTACTACTTTCAAAATTTGTATGATGTTTTTATATGTGGGATGTAAAAGTCCAGATTTTACTGAGGGGGCAGTCCAGGATAAAATGGCTGTGGAAAGAAGTAACCAGTTATGGAGAAGAGGGGTCATTTTTGCCACAGCAGCTAGCTGCTTTTGTTTTTTCAACAAGTGGTAACACGGTAGTAATAATTCTTAGCTGCAAACATCTAGGAGTGCTGCACAAGGGGAAATTAATGGTAAGGGGCTCATATGAGAAGCCTATTGCAATATATCTCAAGATCACCTTGTCTTCCTCAAAGTGATGGGTGTTTGCATTCTCTGTGGAAGAGGGAGGGTTAAAGAATCATAGGAACTTTCCATTCAGGCCATGAAAAGTACAACTTGGATAGAACATCAGACCTATGGCATTTTTTCCTCTCTTTTCTTTTCTTTTCTTTTCTTTTCTTTTCTTTTCTTGTTTTTCTTTCTTCATATATTGGGAATTACAGGGAGCACATTGAATAATTCCAATATGAATATAAGCAATGAAACTATTTTCTGTGCTTTTCCTATTTTACAAACTTTCTAACAGTTATTATTTTAATATTTTGTGGCACTTCTAAAATTGAAATATTAGAATTCTTCAGCCAACGGAAAATTGAGTGACAAGTTCCCAGCAGTTGTGACATGTCAAAGTGGTTGCTAGTAGGCACCTCTGAGGCTACAAAATTGATTCAGGAGTTGCAGGCCAATATATTGTGAAAATGCTAGCAAGTGATGAACTGGACAGCAGATGTTTCCAGATGTTTTGACCTATCAACTTTTAATTCCAAATTCCAAATAAGCTATAATTCCAAACTCCAATTAGTTTTAAACTGTAAGATTCCCCTTTATCTATTACTACCTTTCTTCTTTTTCCTGTAGTACACCTCAACCCCAGAACTTTTCAGATTTATAAGATCTGCAAGATCAAAAAATCCCATTGAACTTGTTTGAGAGCAAATAGGTCTTAGAAAGGTATTAATAATGCTATTCTACAAAAAAAAACAAAAAAAAAAAACACCACCAAAACCCACAGATATTATTCTCTGTGGTCTCAGCAGGTGATGTGATAAAGTTGAACCTCTCTAATTACTTAGATCAATGATCAACAGAAAGGAAAAGGGAAATAATAGATAATCATATAGAAATCAGTGAGGAAGTGGTTGGCTTTCTTTTAAAAAAAATTAAAGGTTTTTATCCTGCTTTTTTATATTTATAAATCACTCAAGGCATTGAACATACAAAATAGTCCTTCCTACTCCTATATTCCCACCAATAGTCTTACATGGTAACATAGGTTGACAGCGAGCGATTGGCCCAGATCATCCAGCCAACATTCATGTATAAGCTTGGACTAGATCTCACCATCTCCCAGTTTCTAATCTGGTGCCTTAACCATTACATCAAATTGATTCTTTTTTTTTTTTTTTTGCATATAATCAAGCAAATGCTGAATCCATCAGAATGTTTCATTTGGATTCCTGCAGAAAAGATTTTGTCTTTTTTGGCCTAAGTAGTCCCTGCTAATTATTTGACATGGATAATGTCTAGGTTTGCCTTCTTTACAAGGGAAGATCTCAGAAGAAAAAAAATAGAGGTGATGACTTTTTAAAAATCACCAAATAATGTAAATGCATTAAAAAATAATATCTCAGACTTCTTCAATACAGAATTGCAGATCTTTAAAATCAATTTTGAGACTCCACTAGATATTTCAAGAGCATATTTTATTAACTGCATAGGTTATTACATATAATTATGGAAGATTACAAATAAGATACAAATGCAGCAAATCTCAAAGATATGTAATTCAAAATGATATTTATTAGCATTAATTCCATGAAAATGTGATTGTGATTAAAAGACAATTTGCTTGGATTTCACACAAACCTTTAAAAGATTTAGAATTACTTATAAAGTAATAAGAAGCAATAAGTATTGGGCTCACCCAAAACAGATATAATAGAAAGCAATAATAAATTGGTACAAGTTGGATGAATAAATTATTAATCAATTGAACATAACATTGGTTCACCAACTGATACAATAATGGTATAGGCAGGTGAATAAAAGGCACTGTGGAGACTGGTATAAAATGCTAAACGCAACACCTTAATCACGCTCAGGATCTCTGAAAAAATAACATGTGCAATAGTCTTATTTGTGTTATTGTCAAGCCACAGTTCCACACTGGTATAATTGATGCCATTGCATAAGATACTTTCTTTATAGAAATACATTTTTGACAGAGTGTCAGACTCAGAAAGATTTCTGGTGGTACTTAAATTATCAATTAAATGAACAGCATCCTTGAATTGCTCTTTTGTAGGATGGACTATTTTTTTTTGCATTTCTCTTCGGAAGAAGATATTACTGTTCTTTTGGGAATAAACAAGTGTACAAATTTCTGTCACAGAAGAATTTGTGACAGAAACTTGCCATATGCACTCATCCTTGTCCCTTGGTCTACAGAGATCCCAGTCGCTTTCCCTCTTGCCCGTATGACATTTATAGGTTGAACAACCATATTTGGCACACTGATAGTTAATGTGGCAGGGCAAGCCAGTGGGAGTCACATCTCGGAATGGAGAGCAGGGTTCAAATCCATAAATAGTCTCACATTGGAAACGTGCTCCGATTATTCGGCAATTGTTCTTACATGAATTGTTTTTCAGAGAATATTCAAAGGAACCCCACTCTGATGGTATGCTACAGTAATTCCATTTTCCATTTTTGAAGTAACAATATTGATAGGAACCTCCCCAGAAATCACAAGGTGAGTCACATTGTTCACCAGAAACAGCCAGGCCTTCTTTTAAGGAACAATAATCCCAATCATGTCCACTGCCACCTTTTTGCTTGCACCAGGTGTACTTATAATCATGATACCCACAAGTATTTGTACATAGTCCTCCTGAGCTTGTGTAATGCACAATATGGGAGGAAGTCCAAGATATGAAGGAGAAGAATGCAATCAGAGCTACATAAACTCTCATCATGATCTTCTTGAATTCCTGAAATCAAAGAACAAACATTCTGCTATGTTTCTATAATTTTGCTTCACAGCTTTCACACCTTCTTGTCCCAAATTCTGACTCCTCATGGTTTCATAATATGCCATATATTAATGTTTCTTTCATTATGGTAAATTGTTAGAAAGTGAGATAATCATACCTTGCATCTGATTTTTTTATCTTTGAATTTCACCTTTTTGTGAGTGGTTAATTTTCTAAGCCTTGGTTATCTCAGGTGTCATTGCAACCAAAATCTTAAAATCCTTTTCTAATTTTACGATTCCAAATGTTACAGAAACAAAACTCTTACCTTTGATTATTAATGATGGATCTCATTCAACAACACCTAAAATTAAAAATGCTGTTCTAAAATATTAATGGTGATATATTAATTTATGAAACTGCTACATGCAAAGTATTATTTACAATCAGATATCCTCCTGCTTTGTTCTTCTCTAGGGGGAACATAACATATAGAAATGGTGGAGCAGAGTTGCACTTATTCTCTAAAATATATATGGTAAGTAGGATTTCCCCCCCCCTCCATATTCTCCTTTAATTTTTACAAATCTTGTTGTTTGTTGTTAATTGATCTATCATCATTTAAAGAATGGAAAAATATTTCCTAACACATCTTTAAGGTCATGAAACCATGCAATATCATGCAGGAAAAAAGTAAATGCGAAAATGACTTGGTTTGGGCATTTTTTACAGATTTTTAATTTAAAATTTAGTATGGAACTTTTGTGGCCCAGATATCTACTTCCCCAAATAGTCACATAATCTGGCTAAATATATGCAGGCCTGGTATTGTTTCCTCATCAGTTAAAATCCATCACTTATCCCAGAATTAATATCATTAAGAAAAAAAAGGTAACTGTACAAAGATGGAACACCCAATTAAACCCCTTTAGGGAAAAAGAAATCAGCTAATTATCTTTCTAGAAAAGATTATGTAATTATTCTGAAAAGCTTTTTGTCATAAATATCAACATTAAATATTTTAAATTTACCCCCAAATGTACAGCTACCAAAAGCCATTAAGTAGCAGTTTTGGAGTAGAAGCCTGATAAATTAACAAACAAATAAATAAAATTATATAAATAAATGAATAAATATACAGACCTGGAAATCAAGTCAGTCACTATCCAGCAAGATCTATTGGCCTAAAATATATAAAATACGAATGACCCATTGGGATACCCATATCAACATAATTTACCTTATGTCCGGCCAGAACTTGAAAATAACATTTACAGTAGCACAGTATTTAAACACAATGATTCGGTTGAGATCTGTATATGTGGAATTGATTGGGATAGATTGCAAGGGCGACTCTGAAATATAATATTATATTTTATCTATATCTTAAATTCTTGTTCATTTTTACAATTTTATTTTGGATGTATTTTATAACTATTTCATCTTAAATCGTATTTTGTCTAGATTCCATTGTAAATTGTATTTTATCAAGTTCCATTTTAAATAGTATTTTATCAAATTTCATTTTGAATTGCTTTTATTAAATTTTAGTAACAAATTGTTGCTGGAACTTGCACTTTGATATGGCCCAAGGGCTAATCAATAAAGACTTATTATTATATAAAATGGAAAAGGTATACAAATATATTTATGTACTGGTTTATTTATCCACACTTATATGCTGGCTAATGTAACATAATTTTACATAATTGTATCATGCAATTCTACATTATTCATAATATATTAAAACAATGATATACATGAAACACCAAAAGAAATTCATAAATAAAACAGTACTGATCATAAAAGTATTGTTGCTCTTAGGAGATCTTTGCAACTGAATGGATATTGAAACAAAATTGTCTTAACCATTTCTGATAGATCATCAAGATATTAGCACATCTGATCTTTGTGGGCATCAGGCATCATTCAAGTTCTTCTGCCTGCTAGACTGTGTAAGGTGGGAAAAATTGTCCTTGGATAAGCTATATAGATTTTTCTGGAAAGTGATCCAAACCTTGAATTGGGCCCCAAAACCTATAAGCAATCAGTGTAGTTCTATCAGTATAGTATTATCCTACTAAATCATTTAATGCTGGCATTCCCAAGTAAAGTCAATTATAGTAATCTAACTGAGATGACAAACTGAGGACTAAACCACATTTCCCCAAACACAAAATAAACTGAGAATTCGATTTCTTTGCAATATACACATTTCATTTAGAGAAAATACTTATCTTTGATAAATTAATACGGTAACTACTGGATTTTGATTGGCATGAAAATAAATCAATTATTTAAAAAGTCCCTAAGCTTACTTGTAAACTAAATAGCTTCACATAATTCTATTAGTTAGTGAAGTAGAGCATCAAGATATAGGGCTAAACAAGAGGGATCAAGAATGTTATTTTATATTTTAAAAAATGCAAATAGAAAAACTCATAAACAGAGAATCAAATTCATATCCTTCCTTTTTCATCTCAGATGCAATTTTAAAAGCCATGATAACTAGCACCCTTCACTGAATTGTTAACAATAACTTACTCCTTTTTCCAACAAGCACTTCTTGCTTTCTCACTCTGTCCCTTGTTCTGTGACTCCCCAAAAACCCGAGGAGTAATGAGGGTAAATGGTTTTTGCTCTTTATATATTGACCAAGTGACTGACTTTCTGTTCCAAAGCTAGGGGTAAAGAGGAGGAGCAAAATGAGAAATGAAAGCATCTTTTTCCCATTACTTACTTTTTCCCATTACTAATAGAAAAATGCAAACTGCTCAGTGAGAGGAAAAACAAAATTTATTATGAATTGAAGAATGGATCAGGGAACTAGCTATGGTTGTAATTATGAGCACCTATATTTTAAAATCAATCTCATTATCACTGTTGCAGGTCTCAATCCATTTATTTCTTCTCTAGATTGAAACACAAAATGAACTATATCCTTCATCGATGTCATATCAAATTTAATCTTGATATGAAAAACTCACAGAAACAACAAAACAGATCTTGAATTTGACTCGAAGAATAAAAATGTATTTTTATTTTATAATGGATCATTTGGTTCATTGTAGATTGGCTGCACACAGTTATTAGAGGATTAGGAATGTATATAATGACTGCATCCTCCTCTTGCATGGAAAATTAAGATGAAATGATATATCCTATAGTAAAACCGGACTTAGTGCTTTTCCTAGTCTAGTCTTAATGCTTGATTTCTTTGCATAAACTGCATAGAAGTAAAACTACTTTAACCAATCCCTGGTTTTCACTTGGGCTGGAAAGAGAAAAGAAAATGTTTCATGCAATAGATAGAGTTGGAGAACAAAGAGGGAAAAAGACTCCATGGTTAAAGACTGTTCAGAGGTCAAGCAGACCTGAGTGAAACGGCTCTGGGCAGCAGCCAGAGAGGGATTTCATGTGATATGCTAGTAAACCACTTATGCAGCACAAGTTGGAAAATAATACTTTTATTATTTATTTAGGAGGAAATGCTAGAAGTTGTCTTTCTTGTTTGCTGGGGACATGTAGCTTCAAAATGCACATAAAAGCCAGGAGCTTTAATAATCACATTCACCATCTTTTATAGAATAACAAGGTAGGAAGGAACCTTGGAGGTTCTTTACTCCAATTCCTAGTGAAGCAGGAAAACTTCTACTGGTTCAGACAAATCTCTTCTTTAAAACTCCAGTGTTAGAGCACCTATAACTTCTGTAGGCAGCTTGTTCCAGTGATTAATTGTTCTGTTAGGAAATATCTCCCTATTTCTATGTTGTTTCTCTTCTTCATTAGTTTCCATCCATTTCATCTTATTCTGCCTTCAGATATTTTGGATCTTGATATTTATTATCTTGATATTTATTATTCTTCATGATCACTTATGAACTGTGACATCCACAACTCATTTAACAATTGCTCCAGAAATAGGAAGTCATTAAAAACATGAGGAGGAAACATATTAAGTATAATTCCCTTCATTTCAATTCCATTAAACAAAAATTAAGCCATTTCTAACCCTTTTCCTAACTTTAATTCAGCAAAGGGCATATGTGATCCTTGACCTAAAAAAGATTGAGACCTTCTGATGCAAAATATTTTGTTTCCTGAGCACACTGCTTTATACGAGTTTCAAAAAACAAGGATACTTGTTTTTTGCAAAATCATATGACGAATTAAAAATTATGAAACCTACAAAAGCCCTGGAGGAAAAATGGTAACATTCTGTTTAAGAAAAGTATCCAGCTATCCTGGCACATGTTTTTTACCCTGGCATGTTTTTCATTTTATTGACATTCTTTTGCATTGACCTGAGAGTTAACAGAGAGAGGGGGGAGGGGGAGGAGAGGGAGAGGAGGGAGAGAAGGAGGGAGAGGGAAGAAGAGACTTTATTTTACAGGGTTTGGGGACATTTTCTGTTATATATGTCCCAAAGAAAAGAAAAACAGTAGATTCTCCATAGAACTGAACTTAAATTCTAATGAGTCCTACATTTATCCATGTACAGAATACAGCCATTATATCCATAAAATTCTTTTATCATATAGAAGTAGTTTGCTTTGCTTTTGTCTTCTTCTGTGTTCTTTTCTCAGCTTTCACCCTGTAAACTTTGGATTCCATGATAGTCTCCCATAAAATTTAAAACAGAACTGATCCTACTTCACTCTTAGAAATTGGACCAAGTGAGATTGGTGGTGCCCGTCAACTGGTTTCACTAGGTTCATCTTGGGAATGTTGGCATGCTATCTAGGCATCTGCCTCATATTCCTAGTCCTTGGGTAACTAACATCAGCTTAAGTTATCCTTAAATATTCTAGTTTCAAAGTTGTGTTTTGCTCCTTAAGCAAGCAACAACTCTCAGCACTTTCTAGATGTATAAATTCTGACACACATTGCAAACTATTCAATGTATGGTGGAGTGGCAAGATAGGCCATTTCACACCAGATTTTATACTCCTCCAAAAATTCCTAGTTTTCAAAGAGTCCTAAATACTCTGACAAAACAAGCTGACCGAACAGCTAACTATTAAGTAATAAAGCTAGAACTATCCTACCTGCGCAGCAAAAAAAAAAAAAAAGATAATTGACCATTACAGTTATCTTTCAAAAGGAAAGATTGGGGACAAAAAAAGTCAAGATGGCAGCTGTGCAACTAAAGTCAACCACTTTTTAATATGACATTGCTAATTCAAGTTGGAATACAAAATAAATTACATACAAAAGAAGAAAGGGAAAACACAGAACTTATTTCAAGACAGGATGTTTGTAGTACCAAAATGGTAAGTGTAAACAGGCAATCAAAGCCCTGCTCTTTTTAATATTGTTGCACACATTACCAATGTGTAAAAAAGAACAGGGCTTTGATCACTCAATTAAGCTATCACACTGATGCAGTTGACATTGCCAAGCCTCTACTTTAAGGGATTGAGATAAAAATGTAAGGAATACATTTTTGGAAACAGACATTTTCTCCAAAGATAAGAATATAAGTTTCAAAAGATAACTGTTCCTAAGGGTCTTGTTGGAATTATTTAGACTGGTATCCATAAAGGAGAAACATCCTGGATCAAGATCACAGAATAATAAAATTAATTTCACACTGCAAGTTTTATATTCTCTTTTCTTGTCCTCCATTACTCCATTATTCTGAATATTTTTCTGAAGCTTCTACCTCTCACTCAGAAGGTTGAGAGTTCAATCCTAGGCACTGGCAGATGTTTCTCATCGGGGTGCAAAGAGAAAATACCTGCTACAAACTCTATGTAGGCATCAAGAAGGGCATCTAACCAGTGAATGCTCAGCTCCATTCAGATACCTAATCAAGAGATTATAGAATTTTAAAAAGGGAAAAAAAATGTAGCAACTAGGTTGGAAGTTACAGAGACTGGTCTTTTGCAAGAGGTAGCTACAATTTCAGCAGGGAAATTTTTTTGTGTACAGAAATTTTATTTTGCTGAGTCTTCCGAGGAATCCAAAAACCCAGTGGACCAAAGTTCTCTTCCTAAGCCTGCAGTTGGCGAGGGTTTTTGGAAGGGAAGAACTTTGGACCTGTAGAATATTAACTTCTGATTGACCAAGAATGTGGAATTGTCCAAACAGAGCACATAGTGAAGGCCAAATTTCTGTACTTTGAAGCTGCAAATACAATAAAGAAACAAAAGCTACTTTACATCTGGATAGTGAATGAAACATAGACTTATTTCTGCACCTGACACAGAGCTACACTGAGGACACTGGAATGTCATGACTGGATGAGACTGGAAAATTGTGGCTGGATGGTAGTAAAGTGATGAAAGGTAATTAAGACTGATCAGGTGAAACTATCAGCAGGCCACATAGCAGATCTATAGACTAGTAAAGTAGCTCACAGTTACATGATGATGAGGGAAGGATGGTAACATCCAATACCAGCAAAGACTGGACCCTTCCATAGAAGCTTGTGGAGAATAAGTAGGACTTCCAGATCCAGACAAACAAACAGCTACTGGCCAATCAATCAGGCATCATGGTAATAGACAAAGATCAGAAGACAGTGGTGGGGATGATGTACTGATGCTAAATAACAGAAACATCAGGAAAAAGGAGTATGACAAGCTTGGAAAAACATCAGACCCTGAAACAGAATTAACAAGAACGTGAAATAAAATGAAAACTGTTTCCAATGCTGGTAAGAGTACTCAGACATGTAACTCCTAAATTGGGAGAGTGCTGCCAACAGATTCCAGGAACAACATCAGTGCTTTCTGTCCAGAAGAGTGCAGTGGGAGGAACAGCTATGATTTATTGATTTATTTGATTTGTCAATCGCTTACAAGATAATAGGTATAAGTATAAACATAATTATGAATACATGAAATTGATACATATAAGAAAAATAAAAAGAAACAATAGGACAGGGATGGTAGGCACATTGGTGCACTTATGCACGCCCCTTACAGACCTCTTAGGAAAGGGGTGAGGTCAACA